GGTCAATGGGGCTTTGGCCAGCAAGCGAAGCATACAAATAAGGCTCCTCCATATGCATCAGAGATCGAGTGCAGTTCGGTTTTTCGAGCTCGTAGATTTGATTTGTTGCCTCTCTTTTAGCCCAGCCGGCATCAGGCCGGACTGGAGGAAGGTACAGTATTTTTAGGTAGATAGTAGTAGTAGTATAGTGGAGTTGTAGTCTAGGTAGCACAACGGTGGCAGGCCGTCGTAATGGGTGAGCTTTCAAGCGAAGCCCAGACGAAACTGCTTTGTTGCCTCCCAGGGATTGAGCACTCGCTGTTAGGAGTTGTCCAGACGCTATCTTTCCTAGCCACAGAATCTGCAGACAGTGCGTCCAGGATGAGCCACAGACTTTCAGAGCTATCTGCAGAAGTCAAAGGACTAAATGAGGATTTGGTCACCATCAAGACATCCGCCATTGCGAAATCTATGAGCGGCAGCAGGCCAAGGTCAAGGGCAGTTGGAGCTGGACACGCAACAACGAGCGGCAAACCGTCAGCAGCTGTCACAGGGGACAAAGTACAGCATAGTACGGTGCACCGTAGCACAGAACACTCGGCGGAAACTCCGTTTTTTTCTTGACAGCGTTGGAACAATAAAAAAAATTCTTTTCAGGTACAAACCATGGAAATGATAAACTTTGATGAGCACAAGGAGAAACCAACAAAGCACCATTACTTGCTTCCTGATTATCACTACATGATGATCAGACAAACGGGCTGTGGGAAGACAAACACCTTATGTAATATGCTTCTAATGTTACAATCATGGTTGAACTGTGATAAGGTCATCCTTTATGCAATAAATCCTCAACAACCAAAATACCAAATTCTTGACGGGTTTTACAATGGAATATCTCCTGGTAATCTTATCATTGAACAACCAGACAAGGTTTGTCCAGTGGAGGATCTCGATGATCAGGAAAATAAGGTGATAATTTTTGATGACATCAAGATTGATAAAAAGAACATGACAAAATTGATGGAATACTTTTAAAAGTCTTTCTCGGAACAAGAAATGTAACTATATCTTTGTCAACCATACTATGATGAACCGAAATATATCCGGAGAAATACCATGTGCTTCCTGCTGTACAAGGGCTTAGACAACAGAGACGTCCAATGTCTAGCACATGATCACTCCAAAAATCTTAAGAAAACCCAGTTTGCGGATGCCTATGAAATGACAACAGAGACACCACATTCATTTTTCATGCTTGATAAAACAGCAACATATCAGCCAGAGATGTACGGATGTGGATTCGATAGGTTCTTGGAGAAGTGATAAGAAAAAAAAGTATTGGTAGATAAGCATGCCTCGTTTTACTCAAGTAGAAAATCCTGAACATCGGAAGGAGGTCATTGACACCTTTCTCAAAAATCGAGAAATTCTCAAGCAACGTCAACTGGAAAAAGGATCGGCAAACAACAGCAGGAGGAGTTTGTAGAAGAGTTTAAAAAACCTGTTGTTAAACCAAACAAAGTTACGCCAGTCAGAAATCAAGTACTTGGGACACTGGCTGATCAAGGATGGTGTGCGTCCTGACGGTGACAAGCTGCTGGCAATCCAACAGGGTCAGCTGCCGCAGATGTTGGCAGATGTACGGCGTTTCCTTGGTATGGTGACGTACCTTTGGTAAATTCATACCGCAGCTCTCACAGGCAACTGAGCCGCTGAGGAAACTGGCTGAGCGACAACCATTCGTCGTTGATGATGAGGTGACGGCCGCGTTCACCGATGCGAAGACAGCCGTCGCCTCGTCGCTAGAGTGCTTAGCGTACTTTAAGCCATCCTTGGACGTCCCAACCAAGGTAACATGTGACGCATCTCCATTTGCTCTGGGTGCTATTCTGTGGCAGCAAGACAAGAGTGGCACTTGGTTACCTGTCACCTGCGCCAGTCGTTCATTGTCCGATGTTGAATCTCGTTATTCCCAGTTTGAGCGCGAGATGCTTGCTATCGTATTCTCTCTGACTCGATTCCGACAATACGTCCTGGGGAGATCTGTTCAAGTTGTGACCGACCACAAGCCCCTGATCTCAATCGTCCAGAAGCCGTTTTACGAAGTACCACCACGGCTGCAGTGCTGGATGGTCGCTCTCATGCCATCCCCAGTACACCTTGTCACATGCACCTGGGAAGCAGATGGTGTGTGAAGACACATTGTCAAGAGCGCCTGTCCAAGACTCAACTGCCTCACCAGAAGAAGCCTGCTCTATGATTGAGTTCATTGGCCTGGTCTTGGAAGAGTGCCCAGTCAATATCGACGATATCGCCAAGGTGACTAGTGATGACCCACTGTTGCGCAGCATACAGCAGCGCGTCTTGATGCAATCATGGTCACAAGTCACACCCGCTGAAGAGCCATACTACCTTATCCGAGATCAGCCGACGACCATTGACGGCATCCTGCTATTCGGTAACTGCTGTGTAATACCAGAAGCTCTCCGACATGCCGTACTGCAGTTTGCCCATGAAGGTCATCCTGGTCTGGACATATTCAAGGATGCTTTGCGACGACGAGTATGGTGGACCGGCATGTCTAAAGATGCCGACAAGTTTGCCGAGCAGTGTTCGGAGTGTTGGCGCCGTCATACAAACTCCGCACAAGAGCTGATGCCATCAGAAATTGAAGGAGTGTGGCAGAAACTGGCGGTTGATCTGGTGTGTATCGAGGGTCAACAAGTATTATCCATCGTTGACTACGGTTCACGCTATCCGGAGCTACTTCCCTTGTCAGCTACCACAACCGCAGCTGTCATTGACCGGCTGATGGAAGTGTTCGCGAGGTTCGGCCTGCCTAGGGTGTTGGTGTCCGACAATGGCCCCCAGTTTGCCTAAGCCGAAATGACCCAGTTCCTGGAGCGGTTGGGTATCCAGCACAATCAATCAAGCCCACGCTACCCCAGATCTAATGGCATGGTGGAACGTCTTCATCGAGTCGTCAAAGAGAGAATTCAATCTCTACGACCGTCCCTGTCTTTGCAACGCCGTTTGCAACATGTTCTCTTTGATATTCGCAACTCAGTGCACCGAATGCTGGGCATGTCACCCAATGAGGCTTTCTTCGGTCGCATGGTTCGCACCCATCTACCTCACCATTCTACCCCACGCATTGTGAACGCGTCTCATCAGATTCGCGCCAAAGATGACATGGCAGTCTCGCATGATAGTCGCCGCGGTGTCCGCCAGTTGCCTATGCTGCGTCCCGGCACAATGGTAGTCTTGCAGGATGGCTATTCCGACCCAACTACCCCTTGGCGTGTTGTGGAGCAGTATGGCAGAGAAGTCGGCGTCACTGATGGCAGGCGGATACTGCTCCGAAATCGGCAGCATGTGCGAGAACATGCTTCACCTGCGTCATCAACTGCCACCTCTTCTCGGTCTTTGGATCTCCAGCCAGTTCCGACGCCAGATCCCCAGCCAGCTACAGTCAGAAGTGAAATCCTCGGCACCTAATGCAGATGTGCCACCTGCTACGCCTACTGCTCCATGTGAAGCAGGAGTGGAATCTTAGATTAAAGAGGCCGATGCTAAGATTCATCCCGAGTCCAGTGACCAATCACGTCGTCAATCACGCCTACCACGGCCCGATGCCCAGTCTGGTTCGCTCTATCGCGAGGGCTATGTAACCCGCGCTGGCCGCACTGTCAAGCTCACTGAGAAAGCTGCTGGTGCGTTGATGTATAAGCGCATCGGTCTTATCGCTAACTAGGGTTAGCCCAAAAGCTTACCAATCATTTAGCGCTTGCACCCGAATGCATCAGAGCAGTGTATAGGAAATGGGAGAGCCAAGTGACTACATGCAATGGAAAGTCACAGAGCAAAGCTGCATGCATACCCACGTATTCTCACAACACCACACAAGGATGATTGGGGTACACCAGTGTGCTGGTTTCGATCAACTGGTGAAGCAATTGGCGTTGCAAACAGCCAAAGTGATCGCTCACGACTGAGCTGCAGCAGTACCCGCGACCAGGTGCAAAGTTCCCTGATCGACGTTGCAAACAGCCAACCAGAGTGAAGCAGTTGGCGTTGCAAACGGCCAAAGCAATCGCTCATGCTTGAGCGGCAATTGTACCCGCGACCGGGTGCAATGACTACTGATTGGCGTCGCAAACAGCCGACCAATAGTATGCAATTTTAAGCAGAGATAGTAGCAGCAAAGCAACCAGTTGAAGGAAGCTGTTCCCAGAAAACCAGCACACGGCACCCCAGCAAGCGTTCACCACCAATGCACGAGAGCTAAGAACAAGTTATTAAGGCACGAGATTGTGATACGAAGCTGGCGCCATTCCTTGGCCCACGTGCACGCTATGACCAACGCGTAGAGCTCCTTCCACTCAATGCTGTGAGTGAGTTGCTCAGGCGACCAGGTCCCTTGAAGCCAGCGGCCGCTGTTGAATGCGCCCCAGCCCAGGGTGCCACTGGCATCAGTGAACAGCTCCAAGTCAGCTCCAAGTCTGGAGATGGTGTCCAATCTGGGAACAGGAAGAATGATTTTCCGTTCCATTGTTCCAGGAGCCGTAGCCACCATTGGATATCTTCCTGGCACTCGGTAGTCAGACTGATGCGGTAGTGAGGCTGCTGGTAGCGACTGCAAATAGACCACAGGCGCCGCATAAATATCCGGCCGGGTGCGATGACTCTTGCAGCGAAGGAGAGTTTCTCCAGAAGAGATTCGAGTTCGCGCTGAGACATGGTGGGGTTGATGCTCGCTGCAGTCAACAGGCGCTTGATGTCAGCCAATTTGTCGTCAGGGAGCCGGGCTTCCATCTTCTCACAATCCAGGATAATGCCCAGGGATGTCAGGGTATGAGACGGGCCTTCCACCGTTGCAGGCGCGAGCGGGACTCCGAGGTATGAGAATGCACGGAGAAGAATGGCCAGCTGCCGATTCGCCACTGCCTGGCCCACGCTCACGCACAAGTAGTCGTCTAGGAAATGCAGCAAATTAGGGATGGAGAATTCGTGGTGCATTATCCATTCAATGGTGGCTGCCACTGCATGAAATACCGCCGGGCTAGAGCGGAGCCCATTGGCAAGACACGGTCGTAGTAGTACTTCCCCTGCCACAGGATGCCGAGGAGATGCCAATCTTGTGGGCGGACAGGTATTTGACGAAAAGCACTCTTCACATCGAGTTTAGAGAGATAGACAGGAGACGGGGAGGACATAATGATGTTAATGGCTTCATCAATGCTGATGTACTGCAAAGAGAAAGGCTCGGCAGGGATCCCGTCGTTAACGCTGGAGCCGGCAGGGCTGGACAGGTGGTGTATCAAGCGTAGTTTGCCATTCTTTTTCGGAACAGCGCCAATGCCAGAGCAGTACATAAATGGGAATGGGGGCGAGTCAAATGGGCCAGCCGTGTGGCTGACGTTGCAGGAAGCGGCGAGCTGTGCAGACACAAATGCAGAGTGCTGGAATGCTGATGAGAGGTTGGACGAGTGCTGGTTAGTTATGCGGTTGACGGTAAAGCCAATGTCAAAGCCGCAGCGGAGGCCGTTAATAACATACGAAGCCAATGAACTGTCAGGGTGGTTACGGAGCAGTGATTCGAAGCGAGAAACAGAGAGGGGCATGTGGACAGCAGGACATGCGCTTGTGAAATCAGTAGAACGTGAAGTGCAGGGAGAAATATGTACAATCGCGGGAGCTGCAGCCAAAGCAGCAGAGTTACTGGCGCCTACCGCACTTAGATCCGTTGTGGTCCTTGGACCCGCAGCGGTTGCAGACATGGGCGTACTTGCATGTGCTGAGACTGCAACGCCCAGCGTTGAAGTTCCGGCAGATCGGTTGGCCATTAGACACCGTACGGACTCCATTGAAGGCTGGCTGGTTGTTACGTTGCGGACGAAAGGGACACTGGCCGCCTCCGGGATGGACGAGGCGGCAGGACTCACATGTGGGCTTTGATCGGCAAGTCACGGACATTTGCCACAGATTTATGTCGATGACGTCAAAGCGCTTGCCTGGCTGAGCAGAAATGGTAGGGCAAAACTGGGTGTCGTACGACAGCCAAGCCTCCGGATAGTATTGCCTGTTGGCTGCAACTATGGTGGCTTGGTAGGAGAGCATCTCCTGCAGGCGGAACGGGTTGGCAGAACACACGACGTTCATGAAGAGAGTCCATGCCTCCAGCCATGTCGGCAAGTCGTGGACGCGTCGACGAACGGGCTGCGCCGCTCCACCTTTCACCACCTCCAGAGACTGGCCGCCACTGCTGAACTGCAGCTGAAGCAGGCGTGGGGCAAAATACGAGGTGGCGATAGTATCGGGCAGCAGCTGGGTGAAATCTACAAAGTCACCCTTCAATATTTTCTCTCGTATAGTCTGGGGAACGGAGAGATTACCAGCGTTGGAAGACTCCGGATCCAGACTCCGGAGGTTGAGTTCCAGCGGATCCAGGGGCAGTGATGGGGGCCAGCATTGGAGCAATCGTCTCCGACAAGGCAACGGTGACGGCGGAATGTACTTCCTGCCGCACAAACTGGCGCAAATCGTCATTCCTGCTCCGGTCCGGGATCTGGGGAGTCGGAGAAGATGCTGCAGCACTCTCCAGATCCTGCTCTTGCTCCTGCTCGTGCTCCTGCCGCAAGGATGGCGTGGCCGACGGAGATCGAGGTTCCCGTGCCGCCGAGCTCGATGTGTCCTGGATACTGAGCAGCAAACGGGCAAGAAGCTGGGGCTTTGTTCCACTCGAATTCAGCCCACGGCCTTCCAGCTCGGCCCGCAAGTCCGACACGTTCATACGGCGTGCTTCAGAGGAAGACAACATGTTTGTCGTGCAGTAAACGGCTGCGAGGAATCTACAAGGAGTCTGAATAATTAATTCTATTCTCGGCAAACAAATTCCGGTTGCTGCTCAGTGACACTGCAAAGGAAAGCGCAAGCCAAAGTCAGCGCAGCAAGAGCTACCCAAGGCGATTTGATTTGGGCGCGCATGCGCAGCAGTTGAGTGCACGTGTAAAGCCAGCTCAGCCGCAGCTAGCATGAGATAGAGAGCAGCGCATCGGCCTTATCGCTAACTAGGGTTAGCCCAAAAGCTAACCCAACATGTAAAAGAAGCTCTCGCTCTCTCTCCTACTGCCGTCTAGACTTGGTCTCAGCTCTCTGTCTTGGTTTACTTTGAGCTCTGATTTGAATGACTACTCACAACGTAAAACTAACAGTCTTTGTCTGTTGATCGTGTGGGGTTGAACTTGGACCAAGCCAGCTATATTGGTTGGCCCCTGGGATGTGATGGGCTTGTCGTGAGGCCACACGTCTATTCAGTCGCCGCTCGTAGTGATTCTTGGGTCCAGTCACTGAGAGCCAGGGATGCGACATATTAAATTTGTATTGCATTTTCCTCCATTGTGCTTCTTTCGACGGTAAAAGAGGCTTCATACACTACTCTCGGGATCTCGGGGATTTCAAACAAAAACTCCCGGTAAAGTGACGTGTTTTTGTTTGATACAGAATGTTCCTGAAAACTCCATGCATTACCCTCGAATGTCTCTTTATTTCTTCAAAACATTACGCTGCGCACTTGCACTTCCGACTATGTACTGCACTTTCAAGACCTGACCAGCCTAGCCTGCAAGATATGCACTGACTTTTCGTTTGACCTTTGTTTTCCATTCTTCTCCTGCGCCCTCGTCATTTGTTGTTATAATAATAGGAATGGAGACACAATCAAGAGTTCGCGTTGTTGTGTGCCGGGGGCCAGTGGGACAACAACGCTATTTCCATTTCACTAAGTCCCCATCCAAATAGCAAAGGGATATCCTGCTACAGCCGACAATCACAGTTGATACGCAAAGAGGAAATGGCATGAAGGACGAGCGCAATCAGATCCTACACAGAGAGGTTGCGTCTACCTGATTGTAACGAGCAAGACTTTGAAAGAAAGTCAGAGTCCATTGAGAGAATGGAAGACGGTGTCCAGATGTCCAGAGCAGTAACTGGGTACCGTCAAGAAGTGAAGCCCTAATAGTTGGATGTATGGATGTAAAGGGTTACATGCATTGGTCACCTTGACAGCCACGCACAGTAAATGGAGCAGCAAAATGTCCTACGTTTTCAGAGCTGCCCTACAGTGTCTAAAGAAAAATCATGTATCCCTCTCTAACTTACAAATGTTCTGAAGTTTTAGGAAACGCGGAACGAAGATTATAATTATGGCCTTTAGATTACTAATAATATTATTGAATCCATGAATCATTCGCCCTTTGTGGATAATTCTCTAAAACAATGACAGATTCTACTTGAAAAGCATTGAAATTTCCAGAACCTTCAACCTTGTAGCGCGCACTTCCGTTATTTCTGCTCCATTTCTTCATGTTCCTAACAAAAATGGCGGTTGCCAACATAACAAAATATTAACTACACTAACCATAAAAAAACGGGTTTTTGTACCTTTTCTACCGCCATTATCCACCAAAGACTATGAGTCTATGAGTCCCTGGGGAAGTCCTCGTTTAGGTACACTGTTTAACGTCATATTCAGTTCTCACGAAACTTGTAACAATTCAAGCCAGTCTATTTTTCATGCTTCGGTGGTTAGTTATTTTTCTGCAGTGTCAAATAAAGTAACTTCAGAAAATGCGTTTTCTTAGCTTTGCAAAAACCCTCATGCTTGACAATGGAAAGAAAAATGACGGAAACTATATGTTACAGTGGTGTATGTGAACTGTGCAACCTAACCAATTTGCATAATTATGAATCATGTTGTGGTTAGGAGTCTAGGTTGTTCCTGAAAACAGCGTCATGTTTCGGCCTTTTAGATTAGAACCACTATACCCTAGGCGCAGGTGATTCCAAACAAAGCCCTGTACGGCAGATGCCACGCAGAGCCCATCAGTGCCCTCATGCGGCGATCCAGATGGGGCCTGTTTGGGCATATTCTTAGACTCCCTCAAGACACGCCTGCCGCCCTCGCTATGCGGAGTCACTTCACCTGTGGGGAAAAGGTATGGCGAGGGCGGCCACGGACAACCATCGTGTCCACACTATCCGCGGACCTAGAATCAGCAGGACTGAGGAGTCTGAGGAACTTGGCAGACCTGGAGCACCTGCGGGCCATCGCCGCTGACAGGCCTGCGTGGCGCGAGCTGTGCCAGGATGTACACAGTAACTAACGGATGGGACAGAGGCATTGTACAGATCCCGTGCATTTAGCACTTACCATCGACCATGAGTTACAAACCTATCGTCGTTGTCTGTTATTCTTGTTTTATTTTTTTGATCTTTCGAATAGATCCCGTGCATTGAGCACCTATCATCGAACATGAGTTATGTGCCTATCGCCTGCTGTCTTACATTTATTTTTTACTTTTGTTTATTTTTGTTTTCCTCCCTGCCCACTCTGCCTGTCTTCTGGCACATGCGAACACGTGGACTTACTGTTGACGTAAACGCGGACGTGCGTATAATAAAATAATAATACCCTAGACTCGGTGTTTTGTGCACTACCCGCAACTAAGCAAGAACAACATTGTCTTTGTGCTTTGTCGTTTGTAGAGAGTTGAACAGTAATCAGATCCGGACTTTAATAACCTTAATCAGGCCAATGTTCCCAAAAGGGAACATATCTTTCCGCATGCGATTTGGTCAAGGGAAATTCATTTTTCCTCCGCCTTTTCTGTTTATATACATATCTAGAAGGCTGATGATCATGAATCTTGGAATATTTGTCAGGCTTTTGAAATTTTCAAGTATCGGGATGTAACGCGAAATGTGAATTTTCGGTATTCGGCCATACTTCAGAAATTGAGAATTCTGGTGTGACTAATCCACACGTAAGAAGTGCACTCTGCTACTATGGCCACCAAACTGGCCTAAAGATTCACCGGAAATTTGGTCATGGCACATAGAAACCCGCCGTCTTTCTTCGATCTTCCCAAAAGGGAACATTGGCCTGATCCGAGACCCAGATATACCTCATTTTCACCAGATTTCAGGAACCAGTATATCTTGCGCATATGCCTTGTTTATAACATCCGTAAACGTGGATATATAACTGATGGAGCCTTTTTGATGTTTTGATGGTGATTGGACCATCTCCATGGTAACCAAATTTGGTCATATACTTGTGATTTACTAGCATGCGGGATACAGCAATGCTTTGCGAGCATGACATTTGCCAAAGTAAATAAACAGTCTCCAAAGGGATATACTTCTGAAGTAGGGTTTCTTTTGTGTAACAAGATTCACTTGAACAATATTCAGCAAAGTATGGATGCTTTATGCCGTTCTCCTGGACTTTCGATGATTTTTTCCTCGCGCGGTTGCATTTTTGTCAGAAAATATCGCTTTAGGTGTGGCAGAGGGAAAGTTTTACAGTAGCAGAGTCCTTTCTGGAAAGGGACTCAAAAGTGATTCCAATGGAAGCTAAGGACATTGTTGAGAACTCCAACACACTTCAGGACCTAGTCATAGCGCCACCGATTACTGGCAATCTGAACGTAAGCGCTATAGGGGTAAGGCATCCTGCAGCTTCATAACTCGAAAAGAAGTGGTGAGCACACTTGCTCCTTCCCTGAGCACTGCAAATTCACAACTCAGTTCACTGCATGGTGCTAATGATTCAGTGATTCTG